GGCTTAAGCCTTCCCATTGTGTCTGTGACACTCATCCAGATGGTTTGACCTTCCAATTGCCTCTGTGGCACACTCGTACATTGGATTTATCCTTCCAAACGAGTCTGTGGTTAGGGGGATCTGGCTTCTCCATTTAGTCTGTGGCACACTCGGGGTGGCTTTCATCTTTCTTTCTTTTGTGTTTGACCGCTTTGTTGAACCAACCAGGTCGAATTTGAACTGAAGATCAACAGATCAATGGTGTGGCAGCAACTTCCAATGAGCAACAGGAAGGTTACATATACAGATCTGAAATATTTTGTAAATCACTAATTGTAAATGAGACCTTGCATCTTGGATATGACTGAGCAGGTTCAATGAAGAAGCAATGTCTGGAGCTGACGAGAAGATAGACTTCTTCCACAATTACTGAAAAAGTCGTCCAAAGCAGGGGGTTAGAACACACATCAACTACAACAGATCTAACAGAATTTCTGATGGAAAAAAATGACAAAGTATGCATCTTTTGCAGTTATGTAAATTAACGCCCTTAAGAATTTACTCAACTCTGACCAAAAAAGCATGTTTTGATCTGTAAACGCACTTTCTCATGGCATTTTTTAATACGAATATTACAATTCTGATATTTCTGATCTAAGATTTTAACATATTCCAGGAAATGAAACACATTTTGAGCTGGACTATTTTGTGGAGAGAAGATGCACATTGCCAATGGTGGTGAATATGAATCCCCTTTACATCTCCCGATTCGCGCAAACTCAGCTTCCAAATACCAAGAATTGACTCCTATATCAAATGACACAGCTCTGTTGCAAACTCCTAGCTTCAAGGACTTTGGCTTCTTTGGCACAAGGCACTGTATGTACAGCAAAGAAAGTTCATCATCTGAAAATGTGTTGCCAAGCAACATAAAATCCATCACACGTACACGGTGTGTGATCAATGGAATTTATTTATCTTCATAATACTTGCATTAAAAAGTTTGAAAGTTTTTGTTTCAACAAATAAACTTGTTCTGCATCTATGAATGTTTTGTCACAAGCTATTTAAATGCTATGGC